TGAAAATTAATGTGCACGCTCGCTGCAGAGAGCAGCAGGCGGAGGAGGTCCAAAAGGAAGAGTGGGGGAGGAGAGGGGGAGGGGGGGGGAAGTGATGGAGATAGCGAGGGACCGCCGGAATCCACATGAATAAAATAGGATTTCCGTTTGAACGTATTGCGCTGCAAAATGAAGATATGCTGGCTGGAGGTTCTCTTTGGTCTTGGACAAATTCCTCATTTAGGAAACTGACACCGCTGCCGAGTTCAAATAAAAATGAGCGCGACGGCCGCTAAATGTGTATTTGCTCTGTAAATCGTGTACCTCCTCTTGTTTGTACTCTCCAAGGGACATCTGGGCAAGGCTGGTCACGTGCCCTGCGTGGGTCTTAAGTCCGTGCACGGATTCTGAGGGTTTACCCTAGATACGGAATCTGAACTGGATTAACAATGCAAGATCTTTGCGAGTGACCCTGCCGGTTCCTCCTGGCTTAGCGGCGGCTTTGCTTGCCATACCTGCAAAGTGAAAACAATGCAACGTTGATGGCAGTGGCGTGCGGTGAGGTGCATGGTTGGTGAGGCACTGACTCCTTTGGTGTCAGATTTACAAATATACAAATCAAAAAAGGGTATCTTATTCAATTGGCTAAACATTATATTTGTGACAGGCAGCTATACGGCAAGCAGCACGAGCCATTTGCACGTATCGACCCAGTTTGTGATGATTGTGCAATGCAATGCGCATTCAGAGGTGAGGCTCTGCCTCACCTGCCTCCCCTGACCGCACGCCTCTGGTTGATGGTGAGTTTCTCATGATTTCCTGCCACTGGGCTTCTTTTTTTGTCACGGGAAGTTTCTTGGTGGGAATTTGTCGGGAGACATCTTTCTCAAAGAGATTCACCCTGTTGGTAATAACACTGATTGTGTTTTGCGCACAAGCTACTCCGGCGCCCGTCTGAATTCGCCCCTCAGATCCTCTTTATTCAAGAGGTCACGAATCATTGATTTGAATCATGACTTGAATCTGTTGATGACAACGCTACGGGTTGGCTTGGCCTTCTTTTTGGGCAACCTCGGTTTGGAATCCCCGTGCGACTTATTGCCAGATGTACACACGGCAGCTTTGGGATTGCTTTGGAACGGTTTCAAGGGATCTCCGTCCCTTTATCGGCTTAGGCGAGCTAATACACAAACAGAAATTTGGCCAGCTCGGCAAACAATGCACGGTGCTGCCATCTGACAGGCATGCTAAAGGCTTTCAACTGCTACCGTCGTCGCTCATCAAGTCAGAGTTGCTGGTTTGGGACCGGTGATCCTTTGCACCGACCACCCGCCCCCACCCCGAGTGGAGTCGTGGTATGTTCTTCTATCGGTCGGAAGACAAACGAGATGCGACGGGTAACTGTGGAGTGGCTGGAAATCATGCTCGAATTTCACGATGAAAAACAATTCTCTTTGGCACAGGCATGTCCCTGCTGGGCTAATTTAAGCAGGCAACCAACGCGGGCAGCTCAGTAATCTGGCAAAATAAAATAAAAACACAATGTTCCCCAATGCTGCCACCCACCCTCCGACGTCTTGGCCAAAATCATCCCTTTGGGATTAAAACCTAAAGATCCACAGAGTGTTTTTTTTGTGAAGTACTGGTACAGGTGTCCAAAAGAGGAATGCTTGACGATCGGGGGCACTCGAGCCCAATGCCACCCCCTCCCCAAAAAAAAACCCACGGCCTGTCAGTCACGCATTAGTCGCCGAGGCGAAGGAGGCGGAGACCGATGCTGAATGCTCATTAGCGTCTGTGAAATCAGATCCCCCAAAGCTCCTCTCACGGGCTTTCAGTCAGCGATGTTTTTCATTTTGCAGCCGCTCTGTTTTCCCACAAAAAAAATGAAATAAAATGAATATTTGCTCTTGCAAGCAATGCTACATTGCAGTAAAATAGTTAAACTGCCTCCAAAATATGCAAATGCCTTGCATTTTATCTGTTTTTTTTTGTTGTTGTTCATTTGAAAAAGGTAATCTGACAAACACCCCCCCCCCCCACACACACACACACACACATTCATTTTGGCACACAACTGCACGGCGCCCACACAGTGAGGACCCCCCCCCCCAAAAAAAAAAAGAAAAGCATGACGCAAGCCCACTTCGGCGCGTTCTGCGGTCGATTGACGTGGCGCCTAAACGGATGTGACACGGAAAAGCGGGCGGCCGCGCTTTTGGATTGCAGCTGGTTTCCGAATCCGTCCGAAATGAGCACGTCGTAACGCATTTGTCAAGCGGTTGATTCGAAACGCAGATTTTAAGGGCCGTGCTTGGAATCATTCCATCTACCCTGATTCGGAATCACATATTCACGGGTGTCGTCATACTTGGAAATGAATCAATATTTGCAAAAGTCTGTGTCCAGTTCCCAATCATGACCTCTTAAAACTGACGAGGAAGTTGCAAACATTACGTGCGACTGAAAATACAGTAGTTTCTCTCATGAACACAAATGTCTGTCTTTCGGCAGCCATTTTGTGGCCCACTTGCTTGAAGGCTGGGCCTGGACCATTTGAAAATATTGGCCGCTCACCACTTTTGCCTTTCATCACCAAATTCCAAGGACGTGAGTAACATGAGCGGACTCACAAGGTCGTCTCAAGGACCCTGGCGACAAAGAATCAATTGGATAGGAAGGCGGCCATTTTGGTTTGACACAGCCATTTGGGAGCCTAAATCCCTGAACAAGTGGTCTGGATAAAAAACGACATTTACCCCTTGACACAAGCTTTTCGGACTCTGCCATCTGATGCGGATGAAGCACATCATTGGCTGATCATTTTGGGGCTCGGCCATGAAAAAGGCAGCGCGAGGGGGCCTGTCCGTCACAATTTCTTATCGGCCTTCTTTGTATTCCACTTGGGCGACGCAGCCGTCAGTCAGAGCTTGACCGCATTTTCAAAACGTCCTCCCACTCGCGGGTCCGCTCGATAGCTTTTGTGAGTCACCGGCTCCAAGCAAGTGATCCAAGAGGAACAGATTGGACTACGAATGCCAGCTCTTATTCACGATAGTTTTTGTTGCCTAATGACATCCGGCGCAACCTTGACTTGTGAGCTTCATTCCTTCTGTGACCATCCTCGTAACCTGGAGTGCTTGCATCTCAAATGTGATGTCGCCGTTGAAATGAAGGGGGGGGAAAAAAAAAAAAAATCAACAAATCAATCATTCATCTGTTCCACGTCCCCAACAACAAAACAATGATTTCACTGCCCCGATATCAATGCTAGTTGTGCGAGCATAGCATTTTATACCGTGATAGTATTTAGCTAGTGAACAGTCATGGGTGTTCCACAGTAAACTTCAGCGCATAACTCGGACGTTGAGGAACTCGTGAGTCAAGGCGCCACTGGATTTTTTTCTTAGATTCCAAGAGGCTTTTGGGATTAGTATCCCCTCGCAACCCCGCCCACTACGCTACTCCTTTCTCCCTCCTGCTTCCTGGTGCGTATCAACTCGAGGGTTGACCGCGGATGGCGCTTCAATCTGCTCGCTGTTTGATCTCAGCACGGCTGCGCCAAAAGAACAAACAACAAAACCGCGCAAGGATTTTGCATACAAGCGCGACGGCAAAGAGATACAAAGCAAACAATTGCGCGTGCCAACCCGTGAGAAGCAATCCGGGCCGAGTAATTAAGCAACATTCATAATACATGACCGGAGGGAAGAGGCAGGGTGAGGGAAAGGGAAAGCAAAGGAGGTTGGGTGGTAAAAGCTTTTGATGCGCCGTCGTTGATCACGAGTGCGAGCCGGTGCGTTCTCACCACGCGGGCCGTTGCTTTGTCCGAGTGTGATCGTGAAGGAAGGCCGAGAGCCCCGTGGCCAAGGTAGAAAACGGCCAGGGCCTTTTCATTTCAAACAAAGTACCCCGGGCCTCCGTAATCCATTCGAGGCAGCGAGCAATTTTCATTATTGACTGGTGAGAAACACAAGCAGTGGCGGGCGCGGGGACGGGAAAACAAAAAGAGACGAGGACGGCTGAGTGGAGAGAGACTGAAAAGAGTGACGAGGGCAGAAGTGGAAGAGATAGCGACGGGAGCTGTCGGCAAGAGGGAAGGTTGAGTAGAGGAGAGAAAAGTGGATTGGAAATAAAGAGGGGAGGAGGGTGGAGCCAGAATGACAGAGGCGATGGAGAGGAGGATGCGTCCGGAGCGGAAAAGGCCGGGAAGCGACAAGAGGATCCGGACCTTCAATGGCAGGAGGTTCTCGTTTCGGTGGTGGATGATGGACAAAATGCTAAAGTGCAAAGCGAGCACAAAATTTGGCGGGTGCGTCGAGGATCACGAGACGAACCCAAAAAGTGTCAAGGACCATCCGTGCCAGAAATATAACGTGAATCCAAAATCCACCAATCCAGGAAAGCGACAATAGAATCCGCTCCCCCCTTGTCACCAATTTCACAGATTGACAGGAAATTCAGTGGACGTGTTTGCCGTGGGAGAATCAAGTCCAAAGAGCCATGCGGGAAATTGAACTGGAAAGCAGAAGTTGTGTCCATTTTTTTTCTATTTCTATTCAACTCTGGCCAGTCAGAGCACATGGAGGTGATGGGGGGGAGAGAGGGGTTGCTTCTCGAGTGGGAAGAGGGGCTACTCAAGATGGTGTCTTGCTGGACGACGGGACAGAATGCCCAGAGAGTGAAAAGCAACGAAACGTCACCGCCGCTCGTCATTTTGCCGGCTTACAATATCACGCCTTGGAGATTTGTCAGGAATATTGACAGTGCATTTAGGGACAAACTCATTGCAATGCGCCTCGGCAAAGCGTTGAGGAAGAGGAAGGGGTGTGGGGGGGGGGGGCTTGCATGCGGCGAAAGAAATCCCTCCACAAAGTTACGAAGGAAATCACAGCAGCGTGCGCCGTTTAAGCTCTTATCAACTGCGTGCAACCTTTTTTTGTTGTTGTTGTTGGTTTTTTTTTTTTTGATGATGCCCCTCCCACCCCAAAACAGAGAATAGAAGTTCAAAAGAAGTAACAATAGAAAGTCCAAGTCAAGTGATGCAATTCCTTACCCGCCGCGTTTGAATCCATTAGCAGTTGGGGGGGCGGGCTGTTGGAGTGTCAGCACATTGACTTCTACCCTGCTGTGACTCTCTAGTGGCTACATTTGCATCCCGACATAAATGAAGTTCCCAACACAATCGCCGTAAAAGCCACTTTTTCGCTACTTTTTAGCTCTTCCCGGAGCGAGATACTTCCTGAGGCTGACGCCGCATCTTTTGTGTCCTCGCACGACACGACTCCTGCATAACCTACGGCCCAAACCGGGGCTGTCCAGACTCGGTCGTCGAGTCCCGACGTCCTGCCTGTTTTCCATCTCTCCCTGCTGCAAACACACCTGATTCAAATGATCAGGACGGTTGGTTATCTCGCTTCTTCGGAGCTTGCCGACGAGTTGATCCTCGACGCTAACGTCGAGAATAAGACAAGCTTATATTTCCGCACAAGCACAACCAATCAATGTTCAGAGTTCTTTGCTTCCAAAGCATTCATGTCCTCTCACTTGAAACGCACATGCGCCCTCTGCTCTGACGCAGAGTGAGTCTTTTCTGATTTTTTTTTTTTCCTTAATGGCCAGGACCAGGATCTGAAGCTGCCTCTGTCAGCACAATACGGCCCCTATAATGGATGGTAATCATTCATCCCGCATGGCGGCTACGGCGAGCGCCGAGAAAGAAGAAATAAAGCGAGAGAGAGAGAGAGAGAGAGAGAAGCCGGGGCTCTTCCTTTGCTAATCTTGGCTAATAGCTTCTGCAGAGGCAAGAGAGCGCAATGTGCGCTAATAATGCAGCCTGGGAAGGAAGTGAGCGTTTGGCCGTGTGAGGGAGGGGAACCGTCGTGAAAGAGATGGAAGACAGTGAAGGAGGAGGGAGCAAAGTCTGCTTAAGTGAAGGATTTAATAGCGTCATTATCATCGGGGTCACACACACACACACACACCCACAATATGCAAAAGTCAATTTAAAGACCGGATGATCGGTCTCGACTTATCATGTACGATTTCCACCAGGACGCGGTCCCGATTCATGTTAAATACATTTCACTGCAAAGATATTGTGATATTTGGACACATTTTGCATGCAGCTCCGGTCGCGGACAAGCTGTCGGCATCCGTTTGCTTCGTTTCCCAAATACGCTGATTCTTTGATCTGCTCCTCATTATCCTCCGGGCTAGATGAGCAATAAACGGAGATGGCGGTGGGGCTGCGGGGTCAGGAGGCTGAGACCCAAATCACGGCGGTCCTTGGCTCGCGAGACTTTGTGTCCATTGGAGGAGAAGCCAAGCAAATTTTTGGTCTGGTCTCATCTCGATGGCCACACATGCAGACCAAATCATTCGGATGGCGACCGGCGGACGAGCGGCAGACCTTTTAGAGCCCGTGTGGCCGGGGGATGAACGAGATTAGGGAGTTGACTGTTCAAGGTGCAAAGGACAAAAAGTCAAATAGACAGGTGTCAAACTCGAAGCCTGAGGGCCTGATCCAGAAATCCAACTCCATTTATCAGCTTGCTACGTTTTTCCTGAACAAACTACCGATGTTGCCATTTTCGAAAAAAGAGCACAGAAGTCACTGAATCTGTTTCCGTTTACACTCGCCATAAGCAGTTGATCAAGTCACCGTCCTGATTGTCGTCGCCGATGCTGTGGTGGTCCACTCGCCTGACTTGTGTCCACTCGGGGACGATCTGGACGTGGGGATGAATGTTCTTTTTTGTGTCTCTGTATGCGCCTTGGAACTGACTGGGGACCAGTTCAGGCCGTAGTCCGCCTTTCACCCAAAGTTAGCTGGGATAGGCTCCAGCACCCCCCCCCCCCCCCACCCCCCCCTCTCCCCCCCACCGTCACCCTGTTCAGGATACGTGCTGTTGAAAACGGATGGATGGATGTACCGATTGTGAACCGAAGCGTGAGCTTCAAACCAAGGTGTGCACCAAACAGTGGTTAGAAATGCAGCTGGATGTGCTTTCACTCAAGTGGCCCCCTGAGGGCTTCCATAACTACAACCTTGCCTGAACTTTGACACCCACGTCTCGAATCACAACCAGTTGCATTGGTTGGCCACCAAACTTGCGCCGCCTCAACTCGTTTGGAAATGAGGAGTGAGAATTTTTCCCTTGATTTGTTTTGCTTGACCGACTTGGTAAAATGGAGGCAGGAAGAAGAGATGCCTCCCAGTCTTGGAGCCAAAATAGGTCAGACTTCAGCATCCGGCACGCGGACAAAGCAGGCGTCTTCTTTTGCGGCGAATAAAAAAAAAAAAATCCATCCGTAGACCAAGACGGCAGAGCGAGGAGGAGGCGGTGGGGTGGAAAGCGAGGGGGGGGGCGGAAGAGAGGGGGTGGCTTAAAAATGGTACACCAAAGTAGATGAAAGTCGATGAAAAGAATGAGATCGAAAAGATGAGGGGGAAGATGAATGAAAAAGGCATGGAAGAGGATCACAAAGGAGCTTACGGAAAGTGCGTGCGAGTGACTGTGTGTGTCCACTGTGAGTGAACTTACATTTCACATTTTCGCCATGTGGGCTGCTCGGGCTTTCGAACCACTTTGATCTGCTGTATAATAAAAAAAAAAAATAAAATAAAATGGGCAGAGCTTTTATTTCCTCCTCGGTCTCAATCTTTTAATTAATCTATGACAAGACGACAACTTCAGTGGATCCAAATCAGCAGATAAACGAAGACATCCTGCATCTGCCTGTGTTTCTTTCTGAAGATTCACGCATCATTCTTCACAGACGAATTCAAGGGGACATTGTGCATTATGGAAAATTGTTTTTTTTTTCAATCGCTTGAGTGCAAACTATTGGCTTTGCCAGAATGAAAAAAAACCCACCAAGCGCACCTTTGATCCGCTTGATATTTGAAAAGACCTGTTGGGAATCGCACCGTTTGGATCCAAAACGATTTGGATCCAAAAAAAAAATAAAAGAGCGAAGCCTGCAACGTGTGGACGTTGCACATTTCGCAGGTCAAATTGTGTTCCTCCGTCAAAGGTGAGAAGGCATTTTAGGTTCGTTGGCAAATGTCACCCCAAAGCCGTCGGATGACACGTTACCGCACCCTCGCCCGCCAGTCATTGAAGTTGACGGCTCTGTAAATGAAAGCCACTCGCACCTTCTCGCAAGGTGGCGGGAAAAGAACAGCGATGCGCACAAAGCCACGTGACTTTCATACGCCGGCATGCGTAAACGCGCCGACAATCAGAGGCATTTCCGCGTCGACCTTGAACTTGGGATCTCCCTGCTCGATTGACTGGAGGCGGTGTGTCGAGAAGCTCGCTCCGTCTTTCTTGTCGTTGACATTGAAACAGCAAAGTCGTTTTTTGTTGCTGTTGTTGTTGTTGCCAGAGGTGGAATCGTGGAGAAATGTGTCGACAGAAGAGGCTGAGGGTGCTTCCAAGGCTGAGCTGGCGGGCTGAGCGTCGGATGACGACGCTCAAAAGAACAAAAAAAGTGCCGCGCTTTTGCCGGGGGAGCTCTGGAATCCGACGTCTTAGGCAACTCAGACAATATTTTCTCGGCTCTTGACCCGCCGCGAAGGGCATCGCGACTTGAGAGAAGAAAGATGAAATGAATGCAAAATACGAACCAGGAAACGGCAGGAAATTGTTTCTCGAAAAAGGAACTCCAGTCAACCGTCACCCATTTGCGATTTGCTCACTTTCTGCAGGACGTGACTGAAATTTGGGCTTTTTTTTTTTTTTGTCCTCCTTCTTTCATGTCTTAAGACGCCATCAATGTAAGCCATTTTTTTTTATGGGTCATATAACCACGTGAGGTTGATCTCAAATGTTTTGGGAGTATCGTTGATGGGGTGTTTGGGGTTCTGACGCCGAATATCGGTCGTTATAAACATTTCCAGTGGTCTGTGTACTTAGTTTTATTTTGCTTGGTTTTGCTCTACTGTCTGCTCCATTGCGAGCGAGAATCTTTTCGCAGTTGCCTGACGTGGGTGAATCCAAATAAGAAAGTATTCTTCGAGTTCAAAACTTGGGCTGTTGCCTTCTTCTTGAGACACACACACCAAATAAAAAAAGAATTTAGCTCCCCTCAGGGGACGGATTAGCTTTTGTTGAATTTGGGGCTATAAACGGTTCTTGGGATTGGACATAAGAGTGACGGCTGAGGGCCAAACTTTAGTTTTCAGGGGGAAGTTTCAATCCAGAAGAGTGAAATGTGTCCTCATTATCGCCCGCCCCCCCCCTCCATCCCTTTTTGACGTTATCAGGTGTTCTAATGGGATTTGTTGGTCCTCTGCGTGCGCCGTTTGATCTGACTGGTGACACCGCTCCGCTGGTAACGAGGCCCCGCTCGCGAGGAAGGAGAATCAAGGTCAAAGAGACGGCGACGATTCCGCGAAGGCCTTTTATCTCATGCTCTGCTCGAACCTCCGTTTGACGAGCGAGATTAAAGGCCATCGAAAGAGAGAAGGAGGATTCAATGTCAATTTAAAAAAAAAAAAAAAAAATGTGAGCTGTCAAAACACGACGCGGCGGTGACTCGAAAGGGAATTGCTAATTGGTCACGGAAGAAGAGAAGAGGTTGGGGAGCGTCGTCTTTCCAACCGCAACTGCCGATCTATTGCTCAACAGTCAACCACCAGCTACCTACCGCGAGGGATTCAATCCATCGACAGCCCGCTGTATAAATAGGAGTACCCGGAGAAAACCCACGCAGGCACGGGCAGACCATGCGAACCCCACGCACGAAGGCCGACGCCTGCAATCGAACCTTGCGCCTCTGCGCTGTGAGGCGGACGTCCAAACCATTCGACACCACGCCGCCATGATTTAACATTTAAAAAGAAACTGAAGTACGATATTAACGTGAATTTAGATCGCGATACAACCCCCGTCACGTTTTCTATATCCATTTTTGGTTTGCCAGTCTGACCCTGACCCTCAGAGACCAGAAAACCCTCACTGTCTGGGAGCACCCTTGACTAGAACACGACAAGTACCAGAGCCGTCGTGTTGACAGCTCTCAAATTTGATGTGTTCCAGATGAACAATGTTGCTGGCTTTTTTTGGCTTTTCACGTCTCTCGACGCATATGCCGCATGTTGCAATTTTACCGCATGAAAAACAGTAACAATGTTGACAAGTCATGATTGCTTCAACGACTGCGACCGCCAGTTGATTTTACTGGAACTCTTCTGCGCTGCCGGGTTTTCGGAGCAACCGCCGGTGGCATTGATTTTTGGCATTGAAAAGCTGCCGTAAAAATCTCGGCTGTTAGCTGTGAGAGCCGCGCCATTTTGGGCAGGACAGGCCGGAGAGTCGAAATCAATACACTAATCAGCTAATGTGGTGCTTGTGGACATCATTCGTCCATGGAATGAAGAGTTTCGGGGTGTGTTCTGAATTCCTCTTTCCTCCCCGTTCCTTCGGAGCGAAGTGCAGTCAAGTCTTTTTGCGACACACCTCCCGTTTCTCCTTTTCTTGGCACGCCACTCGTATATTTTACAACAGCGAACTCGCAATCGGCGCTCCGCCACCTGTTTCTCATTCATTTGGATGACATCATTGACTCGACTCAACTCGAGTGTGTTTCTCGAGCGCTTTCAAACAACCACCGCTGGATACAAAGTGCTGTATATGGAGCAAAAATAATTCAACAAACAATAATACAATGAATTAAAAATGAAGACAAAAGAAAGTCTAAAAAGGAGTTTTATGGCAAGGTTGAAAGATGGGCAGCCCCGGCGGGGACTTGCCGAACTTTCAGTGAAAGGTCGTTCCAAAGAGAGGGACAGGCAACGGAAAAGGCTCGATGCCCTCTGAGCCTCCGCTGAGTTCTCGGTGCCTCTAATCGTGCCTGGTCCGCAGATCTGAGGCGCCGGGCATGTGCGTAGGAGCTCCGAGAGGTCAGGTGGGGCCAGGCCATTTCAAGATTGGAAAACAAATAATACAATCTTCAAAAGAACTCTAAAATGAGCCACAGAAAGGATGCCAGAGTTGGAGTGATTTGCTCCCTCTTTATACGTGTAGAAGTCAAGAGGCAAGCGGCAGCATTATGGAACGACTGGAGACGCTTCATGGAGGATTGCCAGAGCTCAACCGTCAAAATGACAGTTGTGGTCGATGGCGTTATTTTAGAATTCTGTTTGTCCTCTTGTGAAGACAGATTTGCTTCTGCCCAATGACAGTTTTGACAGAGTGCAACGTTTTTCCTCGCGTACAGTATATGGATGGATTCGATGACTTCTGAATGTTCCCAAAGGCTGCAGAGACCCAACTCTCCACATAGCAACCATTTGGGGTTTTTTTTGGGTTCGAGAGCGTTGCGAGGGGCATCGCTTGCAAGTCCGCTTGCTTTGCATTCACGTTGGCCCAATGCGGCCGCTCCACTGCCCCGGCGAGCGAGCGGGTGGGGCAACCCGTTCCCTGCCACTCGCTCTCGCCCTCCGCTCAGTCCCAACAAAAGCAAAGCCTCTCTCCGCAACAGGCCCTCTGATTAACTATTAAAACAGTTGACATAAAACACACTGTCATCTCGCCAAGGCTTTAGCTCTCACTCAACCAAAACAAAACAGCCTGTCATATAAAACATTTTATGATGAATATTTTATCGTGCTCAACGCCAGCAGGTTGAAAGCCCCGTTTTGCCGCGTGTCTTCGGAGCGGCAGATTGTTTGGCTTAAGCCCTCCCCTCGTCTGACCTCCCACCTAATACTTCAGTGGCAGATTTACTTTCTTTTTTGCCATTTTGGATGGATGACTAAATCCTGCAGGCTTTATCCAGATGGTCACTCGCCACCAGAAAAAAAAAAAAAATGCAATAAAAGGCAAAGCGAGGATTCACCCAGATATGGTTGCAGCCTTTCATATTCCAAGGTTTTTTCAAGCATAATACTTTGGTTCAGAAGCACACTTCTAAAGGAGAGGATGTTGAACCTAGAAAGTAGCAATTCTGTCAAATGGCGGCGATAAAGTGTGATTAAGAGCGCAGCGTCTGTGGACCCGCAGTGAACTGCAAAATCACGCCGATGCCAATGGCTGAGTTTCGTGTGCAGATGAACCACCAAACATTCGCGTGATTAAAAAAAAAAAAAAAAAAAAAAAAAAACAAGCAGAAAAACACATTTTCTTGAATTCATTTCACCTTTTCCTCGCCTTGAAATAATTTGGTTGACACGATACGAAAACTGCAGTCATGTGTTTTCATGATATGAAAAAAAAAATCACTGAAATGCTGTGAAACTGATTGAATTGTTGAAATGGAGAATGTGAGGCTTGAAAGTGGACTGATGAATGATTTTTAGGATTCACATAAGAAGAATTATTTGGAGCATTACATTTTTAAACGGGCATTTTCACGTGCATGTTTTTTTTGTTGTTGTCGCCCCCCCCGCATACTTGGAATTTTTTTTCCCAATATTTTCAAAAACATGTTTTTACCGCGTGTGTTCAGATATCCATGACGCAAAGGCTTACGCCAACATAAATGCTGGTTTCCAAAGCTCCTCGATGTCGTTTTGCAGCGTGTGTCAGCGTGAAACTCGCAGGCCTTCGTAAAACGCCACTTTGCATGCCTGTTTGAAATACCCAACGTGTCATCTTCGTTTTGTACTTCGTTTGACAGTCAACTTATATATCAACAAATATTTTTTGGGGGGGTCCGGGACCATGTGAGGGTTTTTAAAGAAATGTAGGGCAAAAACCTGTAAGTCACGGCTCCTCCAGCACCTTTCCGTACGTTTGCATGTGTGTGCGTGTGCGTTCCCGCCTCTCCCCGGACCCTCGTTGCTGCTTTTGTGCCTCTGACATGCTCGTACACTCCGGCTTCTTCTTTTCTCCACACCGCGATGTCATGATCAATTTGCCACTTGGCACATGACGGCCGCCAGCGCCTCGGAGGATTTGAAAGACTTTGAGCGCAATCCCAGCCAGCCTGCTCGCCCCTCTCTCTCTCTCTCTCCCTCTCTCTCTCTCCATTTCCCTCCCCCATGTACAAAACGGGGCTATTTGTATGCTCATCCCGCTCCGGGAGCCTCACGAAACGACCCGTCATTTTGCCTTTTTGATTCCCGGTTGTTGTTTGGGTTTGGATCGCCTCGAAGCGTGAGGAACAAACACCAACTGGCGACTGCTCTTTCGGCCAACTTTGTGAGCCGACGGTCAATTTGGGCAATCTCCGAGCGATCCGGATGCCTGCATGAACAAGCACTAGACTTTCTCAGTGTACGGTATATTTTAGATGCAATTCAGAGAAACTAATACTACTTTTGTATAGCGGTTGTCTTGAGTCGCGTCACTCGTCAATCGCCCGGCTCATCTGCCCACGACTCTCCTTGTCCTTTCTTTTCCTTTGTGCGGCAGCTTTTTCCCCCCTCCCAACCATTTTCAATGTTGAGCGTGTACCTCGCAGTGTACGTGTGTGTGCACGTGGCTGCTGTAGCATAGCTTGGCGTTATTGCTCCCTCGCCGATTTTATGGTAAACGCCCTCGTTGTTGAGTTGACTCAAACAGTAGTGGCCTTTGCCTTTTGAGTGCGAGCCTTTCCGACTCCGGCAAACGGAGCAAATGCTAAATAGTCGCTCTAATAACGCACTGAAGCAAGAACATGCCGTCGAGGACATTTGCAATTCAACAACTGTCATCAGCGCTAATGCGTGCGGTGCCAGTCCAGCAGAAATGCTTTATTATCATTCCGCTTTCATATGCAGGTTGATGCCTCCGCGCGTAGGCGGCTCCGCATTATTAAGCCGCCCGCTGCCGAACGTACGCGCCGTTCCGTTGCATTGTCCTTTTTCCATAATAGCCCCCCCCCGCCACTCACCAACTTCTCATCCTCACCGTGTGTGTCAATCCCGCACGTTGTGGGTGACTTTTCCATCCCGGTGTTTTCCTGCAAGCGCCACGGGAGCAGACTTGACTTTTCCTCTGCCGCCTAATTGAATAATGCAGAGTCGTATAAAAATCCCCCCCTCATTAAAAGGGCCCGCTCTGGATGAAAATGCTGATGTGGACACATTTTCCACACGCAGGCGGGACTTAATGTATCTGTCTACCTCCTCGGTAATGAAGTTGAAAGTGTGATTTAGTCAATGGGCTGTAATTCATGTCTTTGCCAGCTCTTATATAACGGGGACACGAGCAGGTTTTTAGGGCAGCCATTAGTGACGTACACGCGGAACTATACTGACACTGTAACGCCGTTAAGGGTCCAAGGACCACCTCAGGATCCAAAATAACTGAACGTGCGCACCCTTAAATGCCATAGGGCAGGGGTGCCCAATACGCGATCGACCGGTAGCCCGCCGACTGGTCCTAATCGATTTGTGTGTCTGTGTGTGGGTTATTCTTATGATATTTTTTTTTGTGTTGGTGCGACCTATCAGTTTCACTTTCATCCCAAAAAAAAAAAAAAGCAGGTCACCTTGAACCTACGGTGGTGCACGATCTGCATCACTGGAAGTTCAGCAGTCAATTGCAGTTCGAGATCAGAGCTGTTGCGATTTATCTATTATTATTATTGTTATTATTATTATTATTATCATTATTATTATTATTATTATTATTACTCTCAAGGGGGTCTGTTTCATGTGCAATTCACCGATGGCAATGGCAAAGAATGGCGGTCTGGAGCGCCAGGAGAAGCATTTTCAAACGGTCCACATCCATACGATAGTTTCTGCACTTTCGAGATGTTGCAAAAGTGCATCCCGTGCCTCCTCATCAGGTCTCCACGAAGATAGGCAGTGATTTCCTTTGCACAACATCTTGTATCGACTTCATTTTTCTGTTTTGCTCATGTTAGGGGCTGTTATGGCGGTGGCTCATCGTGGCTTGCGTGTGTACGTGCGTCTGTATGCATGGACGTGCGGTCACGGGTCGATCGCGGGAGGTCGGTTGCTTGAAAAGTAGATCTTTGGTCACAAAAGGTTGGGGATTTCACAAAAACAAAATCAATATTTAGTCGGATTTACGGAACAAAAAGTTGCAACCATGCAAGAAAGTGTTTGTTTTTTTTTGTTGTTGGAACCTACTTGGTTGAACCAGAAAATGAGTCAAGGAAACAATGTGGCCGGCTCATTAAAAAAGTGACAGAAGCCGAAACATGGTCAAATGAGGGAATCTATGCTAACATGGCCTTTCTTTTCTTCTGCTGCCCGCAAACCCTGCGGTGCGCTTTCAAATGAGCCCTCCTCATTCTGGCGTGGACACGAGTTTTCTCATTATCCTGAGCTAATGAAAGCGCGACCAAAAAAAAAAAAAGGTACGAGATAGGGAGCGAAATTTATGTTTAATTTATGAAACCAAATGAATTTTTTTCGCCCCACTCACAGCTTTGTTTGCCGACGTTTTCAAGTGCTCGCTTTTGAAACAGGGGAGGAAACAAGAAGACGAGTACACGCATTGGATGAGCGGAACCTTATGTAGACTTTTGTGAGGTGATGCAACATCGCGTTGCCGAAAAGATGTCGGGGGCGGGGAGCCTACACGGAAGACAAGAAATGGCTTACATGAGCTTTGCCAGAAGTTGTTTTTTTTTTTTTTATTGATGTCTGGGTTTAAAAAAAAAAAAAAAACAAAGCCAAAACAAACATATGACACGCTGCTGTGTAGGGAAGCTAGCTGCAATAGCTTCTTCTTCGATGCGGCATTGAACTAAAATTCAAAGCAAAAATAGCATTGTGACTAGGTTGCAGATGCGCACTTTTGTTTGTTCCAAGAACACATACTGCAACAAGAAAAGGCCATACGTCGCCATGAAATGCTTTCCTGTTGTTTTTTGGGGTGGTTTTTTTTTGCTATTTTCTTATTTCAGTGCGCTCTGGAATGGGAACATTTGGACTCTTAGGCTAATGGTTTAGTCTTTACGGTTTCACAATCACAGTTTTGCAGCTCCAAAATGTATGCTTTTGAAATGACTGAACAAGCTCCATACGTGAACTACTTATTTTTTTTTTTTCAGAAAAAAACTAGCTCTCTGCTCTCCAGTGCTTTCTGAAATAACATCAGAAAGCAAAAGACGTGATGTTCGCCATGCTAGTTAGCGAGCTACTGAGCAGAGCCGGGCAATTCTGTTCAATTCTTTCGGACCGTTATTCTATTCTAGGTTATATTCAAGATTGCAGTTGTACCAGCATTATGGCTGGTACAACTGCTTTCGTCGAGCGAGCGAAGCCCCTCCACTTCTTCTCCGGCGTGCACCAATGAAGTCACTGCGGCGGTCAAACGCTAGCGAATAAAGCGAGGCGCGACGCTCGCGACAGGTTTGGTCTGCACGTAGCATTAGAGAGAATATCCGTCAAAATATGTCAGGCATTCAGATTCAATTTGTTCACTGACAAATTTCAAATCCGGAGGTTTTGACCCTTCGAGCGCAGCGAGATTTCAGTCCATTCTTCTTGAAGACGGAGGTCTAATTGCTTTCAGGTCACTCACAAATTCCCAGTGTGTACTTGGAAGCTGCTCCTTTACCTTTCTCATGACCATCCTTAAGCCACAAGGCAAGATCAGGCATGGAGAGTTCAGGACCAAGTGCAGTTGATGGTCATTTTCTGTAGCTTCCAATTTGGAATCAAGGCACCTTCCCTCCCAATGATTTCCTGATTGATGATGATGATGATGATTAAAAAAATAATCATAATAATTGCAGCCTAGTGCAGATCAACATCTTTGTCCTTGTCAGCACATGAGCCTCCTTGCCCATGATGGTAGAGCAATTGGAATGTCAGAAAAGGAGATGAGATCAGAAATAATGCTTATTGGCCCTGGTTCGCACCGGCCAATGTGTGGACGCTCAAATTCTGCATGACTCGCAGCGTTTTCTGACGGATTTAAAAAAAAAAGGGATTGATTCCGAGACCAGGTGTGCTTCATTCATACTCATGACAAGCTGAGATCGGGATCGTAGGTTGAGAGTGCACGGCTGCGAGCTTCATGGGCAACGGTCACTCTGTGGGAGGGAGCCACATTTCAGTTCAGCTCAATGGTTTGGGAATACATCTTATTGCTTTTTGTTGTTGTTGTTTGTTTTGTTTTGTTTTATTCAAGCCGCCTGTCCCTACGAGGTTCGTGAGGTGTGTATGCATTTGATATATTACCGAAATCAATGAAAAACCATTAAAAAAAAATAAAGCATAGAGTCAATTTCATGCAAGTACACCAGGGCGTCTTTGTTTAGTTCCTTGGATGGGAATTTCAAAATCTTTCAGATCAAATTCTTTTGCGTGAAAAGACTGCGTATGTGCTGGTTTCAGTGAATCATTAAAGATGTGTAATTACTAACAGGCTTTTTCGCCCCCCCACCGTCACCGCCGCGATGTGTTCCCTATTGTGCTTCTTTTTTAACACCAAGCCTCGTAATTAGCTTCAAAAAGCGAGAAGAACGTGTTTTTATTTTTCCCATTGTTGAGCCTCGGCACGTCGCCGCCTTCGGGGATGTCGCCTTGCGCCACTTGCAATTTGATTCAAAGCGTCACATTCGCTCAGACCTACACGGAACTTGCTGGCAATAAAAGTGACGGCGGGAAGAACGAGATTGTCTCCGGTGGGTGCCGTTGCCGTTTAAGCACCACCTCTTCCATCCTAAACGCACCTGGGTGACTTCAAAAAGGGCTCAAAGGTCGTAGCCGGCGACATTGTGCACACTTTCTATCACTCGACGCAATTTTGCCCCTTGCCGTCTTCCTGCTGCCTGTCATGTAAAAAAAAAAAAAAAGGAGAAAAAAAAGTTGGTTTGCTCCGGCTCAGATAGACGCTGAACCCTGAGGGGCTACTCCTGCGAGTTATACACGTAAAGAAAACAATACGACAAAACGCGTCGTCGCAGATTCAAAGTCGGATAAAATGTCGTTTTACAACGCCGATTACATCCGCAGGCAAACGCGCGCCCGCTTTTTGTGAATTAAGTCTCGCGCTCTTGATCTCAGCGGCTTTACATCGAAAGCACTTTGTTGAAAGTATATGCAGGAGGTCCTTCTTTATTTCTGATAAAACGCCGGCAATGCTGGGAACGGCCGTCTAGATGGGCTGGGGGAGCGAGGCTGCGCCGGAGAGCCAGGTGCTCTCTATAAACGCTCCCATCAGAGATTGGACCTGGCGCTTGTTTGAATAACATTCCAACATGAAGGCCTGCTGTTTATCCAACATTGATTCCCAGCCCCACATCCATTACGGCTTGATGGAAGAACCGAGCGTTGCCCGTAACCGCCATTACTGGAAATCTATACTTGATACCTTCTGTGTATGAATGCTCATTTCACAACCTCAATATAGGAGGAGCACGGGTGGTCATTTTAGCCTCAAGAAAGGACAAAGTGTTATTTTACTCTGCAGCAACACGGAGACGACATTTGTTTGACGTTGCCGACTCTCAGCACGAATTTTAGCGAAGGGATGTCAGAGACCGGTCAAGAGGCGAGCGCCGACATTCTGGACCAATCGGAGACGCTTCACGGAGGATCGGCTGACTCCTTCGACCGTCCTCAATACGAATTTGTTGTTTGTTGTTGTATGAAGTTTTTTTTTTTGCTCCTTGGACAGCACTTTGTACACAGCGGTGGCTGTTTTAAAGTGCTCGAGAAATACATTTGAGTTGAGTTGAGCTCGTTCAAAAACCACCAGCTTCCAAAAATTCCCCATCCAATCTACAGAAAAGGCTACTGGGTAGCGAGCTAATTCAGCATGAGAGCTAAGGCTAGCTAGCGCTTAACAAGGTGCACCGACCCAGGAGCGGGCCTAAATTAGCAACCGGCGTCGTCTCCCGAGACGCATCTCCATTTGGGCCGGAATGGCAAGCGTGACCCTCATCTCTGCGCTCCTCACCTCGAGCTAATTAAATCGGGCTGCAGCACGGGGTATTGTGGAAGCGGATGAGAGAGAACGCGAGTGTGCCAACCAGCCACAAGACCTACGAGATAAAAGGAGCGTTCCTCAACCAAAGTGGATACAATTGCACATTTTTTTTATGGGAATTTGGTGCATTTTCTGCTTTCTGCTCAGTCCACAGCGTGCTATTACTGTGCCATTGTGGTCTTTTCCAGAAGCAACCTTTGTCGTTGATTATTTAAAAAAAATAATAATAAAATACCGTATTGGCCCGAATATAAGATGGTGTTTTTTGCATTGAAATAAGACTGAAAAAGAAAGAAAATTGAAGAAAATTATCAAAGAGGTAACAGAAAATGGAGAAACGTAGCGACAATC